CCCTGGATATGCACATCTTAGCGAGTACATGCCATTCACAAACATCAGCGACAGCGACATTTCAAGGGCAGCAGCGACAGCAACAGAACCAGTCATTCCCTATTCAAGAAGCTTGGTTTGCTGATCTCTCTCTCAGCAATTTTTTGTATCTCCTGGAGGTGGGGAGAGTGAACCAAGTCGAATGAAAAGGCTGGTCTGAGCCTCTTTAAGCCTCTTACTGCATGTATACTTCTTTAGATATGTTTGGCAATCGTCAAGATGGACGTTTAGCGCTTGTTACTCTCGAGGATTATGCTATTTATAGAGATATAGTGAAAATATATCCTTTGTGTGAAGAAAGCTAGCAGCAAAGATCTCACTTACATTTTCACCTCTACCCATATATTCGTTTTCTCTCTCTCTCTCTCTCTCTCTCTCTCTCTCTCTCTCTCTCTCTCTCTCTCTCTCTCTCTCTCTCTCTCTCTCTCTCTCTCTCTCTCTCTCTCTCTCTCTCTCTCTCCCTCTCCCTCTCCCTCTCTCTCTCTCTCTCTCTCTCTCTCTCTCTCTCTCTCTCTCTCTCTCTCTCTCTGGTGGAATTTGTAGGGCAGTGGATTGTCATACTTCATAACTCAACAAAGAAGTTTACATTTATCCTTAAGTCATTGTTATCTGTTCATTTCAGAGATTTTATTTAACATTTCTCACAAATTTAACGCCAGTCCCCCGCGATCATTTATTGATCAGAACAGAGTGCATTGCTCATCATTTGGATCTCTATATATACTTATAAAACTTGAAAGGAATGTTCATCTACGAAAGGAATCTTATCTCTCGTAAACAAGCATCTTTAATTACAGAAAAAAACTTTTCTACTTTCCTCACACGTTCATAATTGACCTAAAACGACATTTGAGACTCATGACCAAATGCAGACTCATTTCTTGAGGTAAAAATGAATCATGAAAATGGTAAAAGTAAAATAAGGAATACAATGTGAATAATTGTCACATTGTAATACAATACAAAAATATATGAAGAAGTAAACGACATAGAAAGGGAAAAAAACAGACAAAAATGGTTAATGATGAAGTAGAAGGCATAGAAAAACAAACAATGGTAGAAGATGGTAATGATGACTAAATTATGATGATAATTAAGCATCACAACAAATCATTGTAAAGAGTAAAACGCAAGACATGACCACCCAAGTTCCAGGAACCGGTTGGACCTTCTTTACTCGCTACGTCAACGGGAGTCGAGGGAGCTCAGATGGGGTATAAGCCAAGAGGAAAAGATGGAAGAGGGTAGAAATTGTGAAAGGATTGGGGGACATTGGGTATGGTAAGGACAGAAGACAGGGGACAGAAGACAGAACAGGGGACAGAAGGACGAGGACAGAAGATTTGGAAAGAAATTGCAGTTAGAGAAAATAACAAAAATGGAGAATACAAAGGTCACGCAACGTTGAAAAGTATAGAAAAGGGAAGCTGGGAAGGCCCAAAGGGGGTACAGAATGGGGGCAAGGGTGTGAAATATGGTTTGGAAGGGGAAGTGTGAAGGGGTTGAATTGGCCACACGAAGGGAAGGATAAGCAGAAGAGCAGTGGTCGGACTCTGCAGGTGAGGGCTGCCTCCCCATAAACATTGCGGGGCGCGCTGGAGCCTACAAAGCGCTCAGCGGATCCCGTATAGGAATCCGATATGGCATAACTCGCGGTTATTGTGGGAAGTTATGTTGCTCTCGGGAACCAGTTACCTCCCCTGGCCGTCTGGTGGTCATCTTCCCCTCTGATTGTGTAGACAGGTCATGGGTGATTGTGTCAAGGGACGATATCTTTCCATCTGTTTGTGTTGGCAGGTCATGGGTGATTGTGTCAAGGGACGATATCTTTCCATCTGTTTGTGTCGACAGGTCATGGGTGATTGTGTCAAGGGACGATATCTTTCCATCTGTTTGTGTCGACAGGTCATGGGTGATTGTGTCAAGGGACGATATCTTTCCATCTGTTTGTGTTGACAGGTCATGGGGGGATTGTGTCAAGGGACGATATCTTTCCATCTGTTTGTGTTGACAGATCATGGGGGATTGTGTCAAGCGACGACATCTTTCCATCTGTTTGTGTTGGCAGATCATGGGGGATTGTGTCAAGGGACGACATCTTTCCATCTGTTTGTGTTGACAGGTCATGGGGGATTGTGTCAAGGGACGACATCTTTCCATCTGTTTGTGTTGGCAGGTCATGGGTGATTGTGTCAAGGGACGACATCTTTCCATCTGTTTGTGTTGACAGGTCATGGGGGATTGTGTCAAGGGACGACATCTTTCCATCTGTTTGTGTTGACAGGTCATGGGTGATTGTGTCAAGGGACGATATCTTTCCATCTGTTTGTGTTGACAGGTCATGGGGGATTGTGTCAAGAGTTGTCATCCTCCTGTCTGATTGTGTTGACAGATCATGGGTGATTGTTTCATAGCACTCATCCGCCGTTGTGATTGTACGACACATCTGCCTCTACTTCTA